GTAAGTCACGCCTGCCTCTCTTTGTTTGCCCGGAGGCCTAAAGCGCCTCCGTCCTGTTTTGTGATTTCTCTCGAAAATAAATGAGTTTAGTTCGGTCTGATCGCATTCGATTGCTGTGAAAAGAAAGAAAGAAAGAAAGAAAAAAGCGGTTTGAGAAGGAAGACGTGCAGACTGTAGGCCTAGTAATATTGAGATTTTTTTCTGATTTCAACGCTGGGAACTGAGAGGTTCTCGTTAGACCAGCGAATGTAAACCAAAAACAGAGCAGCAATTTTCCCGCTCTCGCTCATGTGGTAATTGGATAGTAAGAGCCGTTTGCCGATTTCATCAGTATTTGCTGTCCCCGAAGCGAGTGTTGGGCGGAGCCAGGCCGGCGATATGTGTTCCCGCTCCGCCGAGACGACTCCGTGCTTTCCAAAAGAGAAAACTTGGAGTGCCGTTTGGCCAAGCGCGCGCGGGCTGATCGTAACAAGGGCCATTTGCGATCCGATTCCACGAACTAATTACTCTTGAACTTCGACCACTTAGCGAAATCCCTCCGCTCTCCTCCTCTTCCTCCTCCTCCTCCTCCTCCTCCTCCTCCTCCTCCTCCTCCTCCTCCCTCTTCCTCCTCCTCCTCCTCCTCTTCCTCCTCCTCCTCTTCCTCCTCCTCCTCCTCCTCCTCCTCCTCCTCTTCCTTCTCCTCTTCCTCCTCCTCCTCCTCCTCCTCCTCTTCCTCCTCCTCCTCCTCCTCCTTCCTACTCCCCTTCATCCTTCTCTTCCTCTTCATTCTCTCTTTTCTTTTCCTCTTCCTGCTCTTCCTTTTCCTGTTCTTCCTCCTCCTCTTCGTCCTCTTCCTCTTCCTCTTCCTCTTCCTCCTCCACACACATGCCCTCTGCCGGCGGTTTACCTTCCTCTCCGAAATTTGTTTGCATACTTCGAACGGCTTCATCCGTGCGCGGTTTTCTCCCGTGCTCGGAACGGCTTGGTACGCTAACTACCCAAGAGTACGTACATACGCCGGATGACTGGCAGGATTCAAGGATGGAGGCGAAGGAAGACAAAATGACGGAGAAAATGCGAACGGTTACGGTCGATTGTCGGGGTAGATTGGACATTTTTCAGTCCCCCCTCCAAGTTTTTTTTTTCTTTTATCCTTGATTGGGTGGAGTAAGATTTAATTTTTTATCTCTTTTTACGAGCTAAAGGGACCTGGTTTGCTCCTCCCGTCTAATCTCATTCTTTTTTCCTTTTTTTTTTTTTTGGTTAAATGACCTTGCGAAAAATACGGCCAGTGAAGCGTCTATCACGGTGCGTATCTTCCCGCGATGGAGAAAGAAAAGGGGGAAAAAAAGAAGAAAACGACATAACAAAAACGCGAGAAAATGGCGGGAAATTTTGGCGTCGCTTGGGAGAGGAAACTAGTTCACGAGAGGCATGTGGGTCACTCACGGGAGTACGGAGTTCCTGCATGCACGCAGCACTCCTCTCTTTCTGCTTTTTTTGTAAAAGGGAAATTGTAAAACACTCCTCTTCCTCTTTCTCCTCCTCCTCCTCTTCCTCCTCCTCCTCCTTCTCCTCCTCCTCCTCCTCTCCTCCTCCTCTCCTCCTCCTCCTCCTCCTCCTCCTCCTCCTCCCTCCTCCTCCTCCTCCTTCCTCCTCCTCCTTCCTCCTCCTCCTCCTCCTCCTCCTCCTCCTCCTCCTCCTCCTCCCTCCTCCTCCTCCTCCTCCTCCCTCCTCCTCCTCCTCCTCCTCCTCCCTCCTCCTCCTCCTCCTCCCTCCTCCTCCTCCCTCCCTCCCTCCTTTTTTTCCACAGGAAGGACGGAAGTACCTAGTCATACGCGTCTCTTCAGGAAAGCATTATGTCGTTTAGTGATTGCAGTTGTTAACGTTTCGAAACTGCACTCCTTGAATTTCCCAACCGAGGCTTTTGTCTCCCTAATGAATACGAAGGGTGTTGGATTCCGTTTCATTTATTGTGTTTACGAGAAGGGGAGGGAAACGTAGGACAGTGATCGAGTGCTGTTCATTTCAGCCAAGTGCGGGTCTTTTTTCCCCAAATTAATTTACACAAGAAGGGCGAAACCGCATTGTTGTGGTTGCTGTAGTTGTTGTTGTTTTCCTCTTCATTCCTTCTTCATCTCTCCTACCTTCCCTCTCTAAATCTCATTCTTCCTTCTCTCTCTCCCTACTATTTCTTTTCCTTTTTTTTATTTTGCTTACCTTTCTCCTTGTCTCCTTCTTCCTTCTGTATCACTGCCAGTCTATAACACTTTCTCCATTTCTATCCCTCTCTCATCCTTCTCCTCTTCTTCTTTTTCCTCCTCCTTTTTATTCTCCTTCTCCTTCTTCCTCCTCCTTCCCCCCCCCCTCCTCCTCCTCCTCCTCCTCCTCCTCCTCCTCCTCCTCCTCCTTCTCCTCCTTTTCTTCCTCTTCTCTCCTTTCCTCACACTTACTACACCAGCTATCGACCTACTAGTTCTTCCTCTACCTCCTCCTCTTCCATTTCCTCCTTCCCCATTCGTATCTCCTCCTCTCATTTCCCTTTCCTATTACTTTCCTATTTACTCTACCTCCCCTCACCTTCTTATTCCCTCATTTCCTCCTCATTTTCCCTCATCATCATTATCTTCCCTCCTCTTCATCATCATTTTTTTTTTTTTTTTTTTTTTTTTTTTCCTTGCCCATTTCCCAAGTTCCGTTTATCACATGATTATACATTTTTCTTCTTAAGTCGAAAGAAAAGCGAAACGATTATCAGAAGAAAAAAATACTAAATTAAGAGGTATTTTAATTAACTTTTTTTTGGTCCTCATTCAAAAAGATAACGAAAGTGAAAGAGAAAGAAAGAAAAACAAAAAAAGACACATTCCTCACTTATAAGCTACCGATTTCTCATCAAACAGAATAGAGAAATTAAATAAATAATAATAAAAAATAGGCAATAGATTAAAATGAATTAAGAAGACGGAGGGAGAGATCAACTGTTACTTCCTCAGCATCCATCAAGACGTCACTGAACGGTCCTTTGCTCACGGCGGCAAGGAGAACCCGGTGCGCATTGCTGTCTTCTTTTTTTTCTTTTTCTCTCTCTTCCTTCCGATGCGCATTTTCTAGTTTGTTTATTTTTCTCTCAGTGTTTGTTTGTGTATGTATGTATGTATGTATCTCTGTCTCTCTCTCTCTCTCTCTCTCTCTCTCTCTCTCTCTCTCTCTCTCTCTCTCTCTCTCTCTCTCTCTCTCTCTCTCTCTCTCTCTCTCTCTCTCTCTCTCTCTCTCTCTCTCTCTCTCTTTCTAATTCCCTCCCCCCCCTCCCTTCCCCTCCTTCCTCCTTCTACCTTTCTACCTCTCCCCCTCCTTCCCTCCCTTGCTCCCCTCCCCTCCCCTCCCTCCCCCTCCCCCTCCCCCTCCCTTCTACGTTTTCACTTCTCTTTCCTCCTTCCTTCGTTCATGACATGTAACTGTTGCACTTCGAGTTCCCTCCGTCGGGTTCTATCGCAGGCCCGCAACAGTCGACCATGTGGAACAGGATTTTTTTTCACTTTCTGTCTGTTTGTCTCTCTCTCTCTCTCTCTCTCTCGCTCTCGCTCTCTCTCTCTCTCTCTCTCTCCTCTCGCTCTCTCGCTCTCTCTCTCTCTCTCTCTCTCTCTCTCTGTCTCTCTCTCTCTCTCTCTCTCTCTCTCTCTCTCTCTCTCTCTCTCTCTCTCTCTCTCTCTCTCTCTCTCTCTCTCTCTCTCTCTCTTTCTTTTTAACTGGTGTCGAATGCCATTTTGCGGGCACACGTGGCACCCTCTGCGGTGTTCGGGGAATGTAACTGCCGGAGTAATGACGAGCTGGGTTTTTATATTCCCAATTGTGTTTGTTTACGATGATTTATATGGCTTCGTAATTATGTATGTACGACAGGTGCATGTGTGTGTGTGCGTGTGTGTGTGTGTGTGTGTGTGTGTGTGTGTGTGTGTGTGTGTACGTGTGCGTGTGCATGCGTGTGTGTATTTCTTAGACATAGGTTCACGCACACGCATATTGTGTGTGACTGTCTCTATGCGTGTTACTGAGTTTAAGAGTGAGATTACACACGTCTCCAGAAGCGTTACTTACCGTGTTACGAAGCTATTAGTGGAAGGGAAGATGAGTCGGAAGAGAAAAACGAAAGGAAAAAAAAAGACGCAAAGTCATCGGCGGAAGCTGCGACGCCTCACGCCTTTCTCTCGCGTTCCGGACTCCCCGCCGAGCGCTGAGTGCCGTCGGGAGCTTTGGTCGGGAACTTTGGTCTGAAGTTTTGGTCGGAAATTTTGGTCGGGAGGGCGTCGGGACCAGGAAGGGCGAGCGGGCCGTCGAGGGAGGGAAGCTGTCCAGATGTCGATCATCCCTATTGATCCTTCGCGTCGATGAAGGGGGGGGGGGAAGGGGGGGAGGGGCGTGCAACATGTCGGAAGCTAGAGGGGGAGATTAGCCATTAGCGGATAAGGGAGAGAGAAGGAGAGAGAAAGAGAGAGAGAGATAGGGAGGGAAAGAGGGGGGAAGGAATGAAGGAGGGAGGTAATGAAGGAGGAAGAGAGGGAGAGAGGGAGGGAGAATGAGATAGGGAGGGGGATATATATAGAGAGAGAGAAAGAGAGAGAGAGGGAGGGGGACAGAGAGAGCGAGAGAGACAGAGGCAGAGAGAGAGAAGAGAACGGAAAAGAAAAAAAAAGGAAAGGAAGAAAGAAAGAGAATGTAAATAAGAAAACACACGCCCTTTTCTCCGGTGAGTGTTTCCCCTCTGCCGTGTTTACGCAGGTCCCGTCGCTCAACAGCAAACAAGGGCATCTCACAGGAGGCGCGCCCGGAGGAGGAAGAGAAGGAAGAGCTGTAGGGGGGTGCGGGGGGGTGGGGGGAGTAAGGGAGAGAAGGGGTAGGGGTAAGGGATAGGGGTTAAGGGGTAAGGGGAGTGGGGAGCAAGAGAGGTAGAGGTAAGGGAAAGGGGGTAGGTGTAAGTTGAGAGGGGAGGGGGGGATAGATAGGGGATGGGGTAAGGG